CCTTGGTAACGGGCGATTAGTTCTAATCGCCCGCTACAGCGGGCGATTAGAACTAATCGCCCGCTACAGCGGGCGATTAGTTAGTAATCGACCCTGTTGAAACAAAAGAAACCCGGGCAACTATGCTATTATCACACATAACACATAACGGAAATTGATGGTCAAATGCCCCAACCCCCCGATCATTCCGACTGTAATTCTATCAGTTGAAGTTTGGAATTGTGTGAAAACACACACTGAATTATGAAGGTAACTTCAACAGTTTCAGTAAATGAGACCACAGTATTAAACAACTTACACCTTAAGTTTTATAAAGTTCCCAAAAAGTATTTAAAGTATGCTCCATTTTGAATTTTGCTTTTTAAAAAAGTTTTTTCATAATCTCAGACCTCGCGCAATTTGGTGTATTAAATGGTCAAATGCCCCATGTCTTGTGACTCAGCGTCAAATGCCCTACCCTAACAGTAGTTCAAAAGATCAAATTTCCCACTCTGATGATAGAGCATGCAAGGTGTCAAGTGCCCGGGGTATGCCCGGGGGATGTTAACAGTATAAATTATTCGGCGCATTTATTTTACCATTATTTTACTTGAATTTTTTTCTGTGTTGGTGTAATGTACTCAGGTGAATATGATGTTCGTGATGTTACTTTGAGTGTATATCCACGCCGGGCAAGCTTGAAAAATATGCCTGGCCACGGTGGGGATCGAACCTACGATCTTTGGAATACTAGCCATTGGCTCTGCCAACTGAGCTACGCAGTCAGGTCGGTTCAGTATGTGGTAAGGTCGTAGGTTTAATTCCCACCGTGGCCAGGCATATTTTTCAAGCTTGCCCGGTCTGGAGGATATACACTTAGAGTATAACATCACAAACATCATTATTTTAATTATTTGAACTTCATATTATATTGCAATAAACCGGTACCTCTCCTCATTCTTGATTTTATTGTCCTGGGATAAAATGAAAAGCTATTTATTGTGTATAAGAACTGTATAGTTGCGTTTTATGATGAATTTTTTGCAAAGGGTAAAATCATGTTGAGAGCGCCTTATACGAGCAAATAATATTTATATTATAGCTTCCACTGACCATTTTTCCCAACAAAAACTGTTCTGTCTGATGACAACGACGTAACAAGCGGAAGTGCTACACCGGAAATGAAACTGTAGCTACAAGAGATATGAATGAATAAAGTCCGAAATTGACGTTATTCAAGTTTGCTGCCATGGGCGTACAGGCGTCAAAAATATAGGGGGGGCGGGACATAAAATGCCGAACGTTAATGAAAATTGTCCGATATATAATGTGACCAAATTTTGTTGAAATTTAAAAGTGTCGCAGATGCAAAATTATGTTATAGTATGTTTTATATGCACAGATTTAAAGTGGACCTTTACGTGGACCTAGCTTTCCTTCGCTGTGATGCAAAAATGCCCAACTCTCGAGTAGAATTTGCTGACTTTTCTGTTAAAATTAGAAGGGGCTGCCGCTCGCTCCCCCCCCCCCGAGCGGTACGCCCATGTGTTTAGCTGTTTGAATATGTAGTTGTCTTAATTAAAATTTCATCAAAGTGAAAATTTGTTTTGTGAAAAGTTTATAAGTGCATGAGCACTGTGAGTGTTGGACTTTACTTTAGCCATAAAATAATTTATATTTTAGAGAAACCAAATGTAACATTCAGCTGTTCCAATCCTTACACGATAAATGAAGGTGATAACTCCACATGTGTATGTAGAGGTGAAGATGGAAACCCTCCAGCCAATGTAACTTGGTATGATAAAAATGGCGTTCAGATTGGTGTAACAGGGAAAGAAGGACAAACATTACCTCTAAGTAATGTTAGTGCAACAGATCGTGGAAATTACACGTGCAGAGCCCAAAGCCACACTCTAGCGGATAATAAATCAATCGAAGTAAAAATAAGACTTAATTGTAAGTATCACTGACGCTCAAGCCTTTTTGGTAGCTACAGTATTGAAAGTACCTACTGCGTACAACCTTACTATAGCTTAGATAAATATATACGTGCATGCAATGAGACCATTTAACAGGCTGTGCAAAGTAAATAGACGTTTAAATTATAAACTGTGTAGAAATATTGAAACCTGCAGTTTTTCCTCGAACATAATGTATTTAATTGGCAGACTCAATTGTGCAAGCTATTTTTCATATAGATATACTTACTGTCCGGCAACAACAAAATTGTTTTTAGCAAAATTTAATAATATATCAGCATTTTTTTGTGTTGTAGCTAGAATAGACCTTTCCAGTAATTACGTCACGACTAACACTGTTTTCCACTTAAGATCACCTTAAATGGAATAGATTTCAAGCTTGTTTCCCACGGGCTATGGTCAGAGAAGCAGAATATCCTTCGTCACCCCTCAGCCTCGTTTTCGTGTTTAAGCTTATTTTCATTTTTAATAGTCAAAATCCAAAATTCGTTTTTATGCATGTGTTGAACTAAGGATGTTCTGCTCGTCTGACTTTAGCCTGTGAGAAACAAACTTAAAATCCATTCCATTTAAGGTGGTCTTAAGTTGAAAACAGTGTTAGTCGTGACGTAATTACCGGAAAGATCTATTAGAAAAGCGTCAATTTAACACCAATTCCCATTTATGACTTATGACATGTGTTTTTGATTGACAAAACAAGTCAACACGCATCTCTCCTTGTCGAAGCAACGTACAATGTTCCTCCAACGCCAAATCTCCAGTTTCGTTGGTTTTATAGGTCTCGTAATCTTTAGAAAAGTGTATACATTTGTTACACATATGTTTACTTTATGCGTGGGCTTGTATATTTTGTATATAACCATGTTTTTTGAAACATGCCATCAGTCACGTTATTATAGTCGCTGTAGACTAGCTCCAAGTCTCTCTTTCATTGTCATATAGTATCGATCCACTATAGTGTACATTACATGACGTAGCGCGGAAGGGCGGAGCGAGAGAGGGAGACTTGTCAACTTCGGAAAATCTCGGTTCAAAACTGAACTGAAAATGCAAAGACCGAAAATGTTTTGGCGGGGGGGGAGGATTTTTCGTCGAGAAAAAGTTTTTCAACGACGAAAAAGTTGGTCATTTTCATTGAAAAAGTTGGTTATTATGGTATGACGCCCCCCCCCCCCCCCCCAATCTGGAATCGTTCGCCACGCCCCTGATTATAGTAAATAATACAGAAAAAAAATAAAAGGAGAGAATTAAAGCAAGGCTTGCATTTTCGGTTCAGTTTTGAACCGAGATTTTCCAAAGCTGGCAGGTCTCTCTTTCTCGGAGCGAGAGGCGGAGCGCCTCTCCGTGCTACGTCATGTAATGTGTAGTTACGTCATGTAATTACCCTGTGTTATTAATTACGTTGTATCTTTATATAAATATTATATTGAAAATCATTAGAAAATCCTGTGTTATTAATTTATTACGTTATATATTTATATAATAGTATAACGAAAAGCACTTACATGTGTTTCCTGAAAGATTTTAACGAGAACCGGCCAAGATTGGCGTTGATAAGAGGTTAACGGCCATAGTTGGGGTTGACATGAGGATTAACAGCAAGAAATAATGCAATGCTGGTCACTTTGACCGTTAATTGCACTAATTGGGACAAACGCTGACAGAAATCAATCGAATAACGCGAACTTCGGCTGCCCCATCCTCGCCAAATTACGTTACATCGGAAGAGCGATAATTTTTACATAATATACTTTTCTTTAAAAGAATTGAACAATATCTTCCTGCAGAAAATGCCGAATTGAAACTTACAAATGTCTAATCTTCCGAGGTTTGTGATCAGTATGAATGGATGGCCTTCAAATTCGAATTACACCCTACATTGTCATTGGTCGGCTTTCAAAACAACAACAGGACGTTCGCAGAGGCCATTCGCTATAAACTCCCCAAACGTTTGCCTCTTACCGGAAATGTCCTGTTGTTGTTCTGAAAGCCGACCAATGACAATGTAGGGTGTAATTCGAATTTGAAGGCCATCCATTTATACCGATCGCAATCCTCGGAAGATTAGACATTTGTAAGTTTCAATTCGGCATTTTCTGCAGGAAGATATTGTTCAATTGTGTTAAAGAAAAGTATATTATGTAAAAATTATCGCTCTTCCGATGTAACGTAATTTGGCGAGGATGCGACAGCCGAGGTTGGCGTTATTCTATTGATTTCTGTCAGCGTTTGTCCCAATTAGTGCAATTAGCGGGCAAAGTGACCAGCCTTGTATTATTTCTTGCTGTTAATCATCATGTCAACCCCAACTATGGCCGTTAACCTCTTATCAACGCCAATCTTGGCCGGTTCTCGTTAAAATCTTTCAGGAAACACGTGTAAGTGCTTTTCATTATACTATTATATAAAGATACAACGTAATAAATTAATAACACAGGATTATCTAATGATTTTCAATATACTATTTATATAAAGATATAACGTAATTAATAACACAGGGTAAGATTGGGCCGCCTGTGATCTTATTAAGACTTTTAAAGCGTAATTTGTAAGCGTCAGTTTTGAAGTTCAACAATCTCATATTGTTAATTTTATTTCCGGATACTTGTTATTTTTGGCAGATGTAAATTGGAAAATTGCTATAGCTAAACGTCAATGGGAAAATGGCGTATGACGACGAATTGTTTTACCGTAATTTATCTCATCACTTCCCCGTACTATAGATAAAGCGTTGCTAAAATTTCCTTTGGAAACATCCCTATAGGCTTCCGAGACCACAACAAAATAAATTTTCAGTACCTCCCAACTGGTAAAATATACTCTCTGAGTGAACATGTTCTTACTAATAATTAATATCATTCACAAAAAAGTATTTTCCTGTTTTGGCATCAGTAACAAAGAGGTTTTGTTTTTCACAGTTAAACCTAGCAACACAAACATTATGTTTACACCAAAAAGAGCTGTAGTAGGTGAATCAGTTACCATAACGTGTATCTCTGAAGGTTTTCCTGAACCAAGTTACAGCATAATCCATAATGCTACCGAGGTCAGTACTAACAAGACGTATACCATAGATGATATGCAGCACAGACACGCTGGAATATATACATGCGTCGCAATGAATAAACTTGGAAACGATTCAGCTTCCGGTAATCTAACCGTCATAGGTAAGATTAGGTGTTTGGACGAAATCTTTTGACCAAATCTCTATCTGTTTGGTTCATTTTCTGTCGCTTGATCACTTTTATATACACGTACTACTTTTATATACACCAGTTTTCTTGTGTTTTTGTTATTATACCTACACGCTGGCACAAAACCGTAGTCGACTCTATTATAATATCCATGCATGTTGGGTGTTATTAAAGGCAAATATCATATACAAATGTGGTTCAAAGCTTGTCAATCATCGGACAAATCCTTACTATATAATTCATTTATTTGTTAACCTTTAGCCGTTAACATATTTATAAATGTTATAAGGAAAACACAAACAGGAGAACGCCTAGGAACACTAACACAGCGTGAGCCATTTTTGTAGGAAAAATCGCCCGTCGCGCCCAGACAACAATAGAGACGTTCAGATTTGGCTTCGACTACCATTACCCTTTTGGCTTAGTACGCATCTGGTCGCTTAGTCGGATATATCAAACGCATCTGATTAGTTAATGATCCCTTGATATAGTAGAGCGGTATAGTGAAGTTACTCTGCACCTCTCCATTGCACACCATGGACTAAAACCTCTTTATTTTTGTAATTTCGCTCGCTATAGCCGACCAGGAAAACAACGCAAGATACTGTAATACTATTAAGTCGCTTTAAACTCATTTTTTAACTAACACAATCATGCGGTTACCACGTTCTTAGCCAACTTGCCAAATAGATGGCCAAGTTCATTTTCGCAACGAAATTCACAAATCATTTCAATGTTTGAATTTTGATTGTAAACAAATTATGCTTGAATTGTATTGATAATAACTCAATCGTCCAGCGGTCTCCTATATTAAGAAGGAATTACCTTTTTAAATAAGCCAAAACAAAAAATTAATGGGAATTTAAACTTTATAACAAACAAAAATGAAACAGAAACAAAAATGTTGAGGGCATTTTAACTCTATATATAGACTTTTAGTGTGACCCTTTATTTAACTGGTTTTGCAATATTTGAGATAAATATATAGCTAACCATTCAGATGAAAGATTGAAATGACATATATGTTAAATAAAAGTAAAGAATATGATTATACTTATTTACGATCAAACTGGAAGCACAAGTAAAAAGCATGCTACAATAGGTATGTATAATTCCTTTTCAGCTCTCAGCGAGCCAACCTGCACAAATGCCTGCATGTACCTTCGACATTGGCATTGTGTTCATGCATGCAGTAAACGTTTCGACTGTGCAGAAATATTGAAACATTTACTTTTTCCTCAAACGCCGTTGTCACGTCCCCCTCCAAATAGATGAAACGTTGCTTAAGTTCGCTGATATTTTCTCTTAGACTTCTGAGACCGCAGCAAAATATATTTCCAGTATAAACCTCCCATGCATGCATGCACCTGGTAAATATACCATGGTGTCGGACGTTGAGTGTATGTATTTTTAGTAATAATTATAAATTAATGTTATTACACACAATTACCTATTTTCTTTATAGTATAACAAGAGGTTTTGTTTTTTTGCAGTCAAACCTTACAACACAAAGATTACGATTACACCAGAAAAAACTGAAGTTGGTACATCAGTTAACATAACGTGTTACTCTGAAGGTCGTCCTGAACCAAGATATAGCATAACCCATAATCGTATCGTGCTCAATACTGGGAAGACCTGCACCATATCTAAAGTGAAGTTGAGTGATGCTGGAACATATGAATGTATTGCATGGAATAAACTTGGAAATGATTCAGCTTCCGCTTATTTAACCGTTGAAGGTATAAAAGATTAGATTTTTAGACACATTTTCTTTGTCCTGCATGCATTCTATATCATCAGGCGGCAACATACGTGTGAAAGTATATTTTCTTTAATCTTTATATGTGCTTGTTGCATGGACCATGGTTTTTTAGGTTGGTCCGTACTTGAAAAATATTAGCAAACTTATAGGCAATGCTTATTTTATATCACGGGAACGTCACAAAAAAGGCAGTCGTTATGGTCTCCAAAATAGTTTCAATTTCTTTCCCACTATCTCCGTCTTTGTTTACAATGCGATACTACATAGTTTCTGCCATTGTAATTCCAAAAGTAGAATTGTAAAATTTATGATTGTCGTCGTCACGTCCCCGTACTATAGACGAAGCGCGTTGCTTAAGTTCGCTAATATTTTCCCTCGAGTGCCTTATCTATGGACTTTTGAGACCACAGCAAAATATGAGCAAAATATTTCCAGTATGAACCTCCCATGAGGCTGATAAATATACCCTGAGTCAGTTGAGTGTATTTTTAGTAATAATTATAAATTAATGTTATCACGCCGACAAAAATTATTTGCCTATTTTCATTAGTATAACAAGAGGTTTTGTTTTTTTGCAGTCAAACCTTACAACACAAAGATTACGATTACACCAGAAGAAGTTAAAGTTGGTACATCAGTTAACATAACGTGTTACTCTGAAGGTCGTCCTGAACCAAGGTATAACATAACCTATAATCGTATCGTGCTCAGTACTGGGAAGACCTATACCATATCTAAAGCGAATTTGAGTGATGCTGGAACATATGAATGCATTGCATGGAATAAACTAGGAAATGATTCAGCTTCCGCTAATTTAACCGTTCAAGGTAAGATTAGAATTTTCAGACACATTTTCTTTGTCCTGCATGCATTCTATCACCAGGCGACAATATACGTGTAAGCTAGGAACCACGGAAAGGAAAAACCAGTAGTACACTGAATGTAGAATTAATTTAAGCTCACATTGTGTTCTGTTAGATGCCAAAATTCAGAATGATGTCATATATATTGTTTTAAATGCTCATGCTATACTTAAGATTCAAAATTAAACATTTAAACTGTGCAGAAATTGAAACGTTTATACCTTTCCCTCAACCGCTATTTTTTTTAAAACATATTTTAAAATGCAGTGAAATTTGCAGCGTCGGTTGTTTATATATATTTTTCATTAATATTTAATGTCAACAACAAAAATGTTTTCGCCAAGTTAACTTGAAGTTGTGGATTAAAATTATGTTTTCAAGAATCTCAACTATCGTGAGGTGGACAAAAATATAAAGTTTAGGCAGAATGTATCAAAACCAAATTACTTTTAACTTGTGTTTTTGATTGACAAAACAAGTCAACATGAATTTGACTCACCTTGTCAAAGGAATTTACAATAACGCCAAAACCCGAGTTTTGTTGGTATGCTGCAGGCAGAATTTGGTTGCGGGCAAGAAAATTCTAAAGCCAAGCAACCCAGGTTTGTAGCTCTGTAGCTATATATACCATAATCTTGAACCTTTTTACGGATTAGTATCTGATTAGTATATGTTTTCTTTGTGTGCCTGAAATTTTTCATATTCATGACCACGTTGTTTAGATTTGTTCGTACTTGAAAAATATTAGCAAACTTAAGCAATGCTTACTGGAACGCCACGCAAAGACAGTCGCTATAGTCTCCATCTCAGTCTAAAATTTTGTTCACAACGCGATAGTTTGTAATCTTTACCGGCTGTAACTGTAGACTGTAGGCCTAGGAGGCAATTGCAAAATTTATGACTTTCATCATTTTCCCGTACTGGATGAAGCGCTTCCGTACTAGATGATCGCTATAGGCTGCTGAGGCCACAACAATATTTTCAGTACAAAACTCCCGTGCAGTAGATGTATTTTTACAGATAATTAATATATTACAAAAAATATTTGCCTATTTTCATTAATACGAAAAAGTTTTATTTTTCACAGTTAAACCTGAAAATACAAAGATTACGATTACACAAGAAGGTGTACTTGATAGCCCAGTTACCATAACGTGTAGCTCTAAAGGTCGTCCAGAACCAAATTATACCATAACCCATAACGGTACCATGCCTAGCGCTGGCAGGATGTATATCATACCTAAAGTGAAGTGGAGTGATGCTGGAACATATAAATGCATTGCGGAGAATAAACTTGGAAGAGATTCAGCTTTCGCTTATTTAACCTTTAAAGGTAAGATTAGATTTTCAAACGCAATTTTTTTGTGATTTTACTCGCTTTGGTGGCTTGTGCAATTTTGGCTCATTTTTCAAAAATCACTCGTAGTGTTCATCATTAAATGCACTCTTTCCCGTGTGATTACCTATACAAATTAGTATTAGAGAGGTTCAGGTTTGACTTCCACTACTATAGTGACCATTACTTCTACCTCTCACTGGCTTAGTGCGCATCTGACTGGTTAATTGGATATATCATATGCATCTGGTTAACGATCTCTTAATGGTAGCGGTGCGATAGTGGAAGTCAAATCCGAACCTTTCTTATTATTTAAGTACACTATATCTTTAATTTCAAATAAAGGAAGATGGATCACTGTTAAAGCATAGTTCATGAAGAGAAATTCTCTTATTATGGTGCACAATATCGTCATTGCTACAGAATAAAGACTATAATCTTATCGGCGTACGGGAGCAGAACGAAATTTGAGCATTAGGGGGGCAGAACGAAATTTGCCCGACTTTTGCATTTTGTCCGACCAATCAAATTCCCTGCTAAATTTCGGAAACATTCAAAAAGCTAAAAATGTTTGCCACATTGCCCTATTTTCTTTAATTTTTACTATTGTCTTACATATTTCTTGTTTTTCAGTTTATTTTCCCCACTTTTTTCCAACTTACGTTCAACATTTGCCCGACTTAGTTCACAATTTGCCCAACATATCGATATTTCAATTAGCTGTCCCCCCTCCCCCCCCCCCGCCTCGTACGCCTATGTATAATCTCCATTCTGTGGTGAATACTATTGTATTAAACCATATAAAAAATATAATAGTAATTAAATACCTTAAGTACAGTAATATTTTATAGAATGCGGAAATAAACTAAGTAATGCTTCCGCTTAAAGGAAAATTAAATTTCGGAAGCAATCTCATACCCAGAGTCAGGCAGACCATTCTACTCTACCGCCAAAATAGCTTAAAATACGGGTATAAAGTATCCTACATTTACTCCGCAAGATTAAGTATTCCGGAAGACAGCCTGGAATTTTAGGTATATACTGCATGGTAAATTGAGCCAGTGTTATACCGAGTATATAAGCTAGGCTTGCACAGCATTCTAAAGAATATAAATGTTGGGAAAACGGCAAGGACAGATTTAGGTGTAAATGCAGGAGAGGTCAATCTCGTGGAACCCTTTAATCTGGGAAAAATTGCCACCTTTGCCCTCTCCCCATCACTCGGGGCGGCAGTTGTGTATGTGACATGCACACGTCACGTAGTCAACTTCAGGGGGCGATGGGGTAGACTCCTGCATCTCCCCAATATTTCATTCCACCTCCCACACAATCTCGCACTCAGGGCTTCCAAATAACAATTTTGTGTATAAATTATATGTCCAATCGTATCTCGAGCTCGGATACATCCCTAGACTTCTGAGACCACAGCAAAATATATTTCCAGTACGAACCTCCCATGCAACTAGATAATTTAAACTTATTTACTGAAGCTGTAAGAAACATGAACAACGTGTTTTGTCATTAGAGACGACCATTATAAACAAATCGATTTCTATATGCTCTTAGCAAAACGTTTATGCATGGCGTTCTTTTAATTTTTTTCAGTTTAAATATTTCTGTTCAGGCAATACATATGACAACACTGATAATGGGACGACTGTTGTAGTATGGCATATCGTTGTGACGTTGGTGTCTGGATTTATTCTTGGCATTCTCTTTTCCTACATTGCCTCGTGTTCTCGTCGTCGTTGGTTTAACAACAGAAAACCTGAACGAAACTCTGAACCAAAAACAACTGAAGTTGATACAACTTATCAAGAGCTTGATCTTTCAAAAATGAACACAGAAGACAATTATCAATCGTTGAGCGTGAATGCTGCAAGCAATGACGTTGCAAATGACGATGACTCTACTTACACGCAGTTGAGCAAAACCAGAGATGTGGAGGACAACTACCAATCTTTAACTTGAATCATGAATTTGCTACCATGCAGTTAAAACTTGGAATAAACTGCCAACTAAACTGAAAAATCTTACGTTCTCAATATATAAGTTCAAACACAACTTAATGAAAATAACTCATTCCCAAATAATTTCTCAAATTGTAGAACATTCATATAGAGGACATAGAGAGCTATAATCTCGTACATTTACTAACCCAGGTTCAACCAAAATTTGATCGTATCATCTTAATTGGCTTAGCTTATCTTCCAACAAACACACAAAAACACACACAAACAAACCGAGGTGAAAAC